TTTGTTAACATGCTTGGATACAGCACTTTGTGAACAGCCAGCTTCTTTGGCAATTAATGTTTGTGGCTTACCCTCCTTGTGAAGGGTGTCAATGATTGTCTTCTGGACAACTGTCAGATCAGCAGTCTTCCCCATGATTGTGTAGCCTAGTGAACCAAACTGAGAGACCATTTTGAAGGCTCAGGAAACCTTTGCAGGTGTTTTGAGTTGATTAGCTGATTGGCATGTCACCATATTCTAATTTGTTGAGATAGTGAATTGGTGGGTTTTTGTTAAATGTGAGCCAAAATCATTTTCCCACGACATTCTAATTTATTGAGATGCACCTGTATATATAAGAAATTAATACTTTCATTTTAAGAATAATTTGTTGAGCACCGAATCAGATAATGATTGCGTTTAGAATGTTTTCTGAAAGAACATGTAACACTGAAGACTGGAGTAATGGCTTCTGAAAATTCAGTTTTTACACCACAGGAATGAACAGTAAACAGGTATTTTACATTTTAATAATATTTCACAATAGTACAGTTTTTACTGTATTTTTGATTAAATAATTAGATTTTTTTTCAAAAACAATAAAAAATCTTACTGACCAAAAACTTTTTAATGGTAGTGTAATAATTGTTTTATATTTATTAAATAATTATTTAGGTTGATTCACCAGTGTTCTACAAAGCCAAATTGTGAGAGAAAAAAACATACCAGGGGCTGGATTCATGAAAATCTTCTTAAGAATAAAATTCTTAAGATAAATTCCAAGAAGTTCATAACAATGTTCATTGTTAAGAATTTCTCAAATATGTTCTTAAGAACATCTTAAAGGGGTCATATGATAAGAACATTATTTGGTGTATTTGGTGTAATGAAATGTGTTTATGCGGTTTATGGTTCAAAAAACACATTATTTCCCACATACTGTACATTATTGTAGGTCCTCTATGCCCCGCCTTTCTGAAACGCGTCGATTTTTACAAAGCTCATCGGTCTGAAAAGCGAGGTGTGCTCTGATTGGCCAGCTATCCAGTGCGTTGTGATTGGCCGAATACCTCAAGCGTGTGACGGAAATGTTACGCCCCTTACTGAGTTGAATTACTGAAATAAATGAACTTTTCCACGACATTCTAATTTATTGAGATGCACCTGTATATATATACTCACTCCAAACCGTTGAGCAGTAGTGTAAATTAATCATAACCACCCAAAGAAACAGTTTTTCCACATGTGAATTATACTTTTTTTTTTTGTCCATTTTGCCTAGTGGAAACTGAGAAAATGTAAAATCCACTCTTGAGTGTTTGTTGTAGATTACAAACAAATGAGAATGTCATCCCTTTACTTTGATCAACGCAGCTCGTGCAAACTATTTAATTAACTTGCCGTCAGTTGCAGTTAAATTAATTGCATTAGGTCGCACAATTTTCAATTTTAAGTTTAATGAATTAGATGCATACTAATTAGTAATATTTTAAGCTTGTAATTCTTGCAGATTCCTTAAATAATCATGTTCACGGATTATTCAGACATCCATCAATGAGGAAAATGATCTTTCTGTACAGCAGTTTGGCTGAGAGTTTGTCTCCCCTCATACAAATGGGCTCATCCGGCACACACTGTGTGAGCTCTCTAGAAAAAAGCAGGCTTCACGCTATTCTCTCTCAGGCTGCAGGGCTGTTGACACATCTGCGCCGGAACTTTCTGCAGAGTGAAAATGATCAAGTAATCCACAATTAAATCATACACTCTACTATAGAGAATATTACGCAAGCATAATATTCACCTATTTTTGGTGTGACAAAAACCTTCTTGCCAACAGCATTTCTGCTTCTGCAGATGTGAGCAATATGCAAATATAATATAAAGTATTTCAAGTGAATATAAAGTTTTCAAGTGAGCAGAACTTATTCGAGTAGGTTTAATTAGTTTTTTTTCTTCAGTGCCCAACATTCTAAAGAATCAAAGCATTTAGACTCCCAGAACTCCTCACCCAGTAGAAAGGCAGGTAGAGATGGACTCAGCAATTTTCTTCAATTGAGAGAAAAGGTTCCGCTTCTCAGTGAGTTCTTGATTTCACGGCTTCATTTTGTAATTCCATTAGCTGTGTTGGTTACTCTAACTTTGAAATCCGAATGAATAATATTTCAGATTGCACAGATTGGGTGTTTATTTATAGCTACACACTAACACAGGAAGTACGGCTGTGATATCTCTGCTTTCAGTATTTGTTTATAATTAAAGTCAATCTGTCTGTCAGTCTGACTTTGCCTGTGGGGGTTCATCTCTAATTAGATATTAAAAGTAGGGACACAAACACTTCAGCAGCTTTCATGATGTGGTCATTAATGGCTGGATTCAATATATTCGTAGCTGTGAGCATTTCTTGTTCTCCATAGGTGTTTAATAAAGAGATTCAAAGCATTGAAGTTTCCTCAAGGACTTTGATTATAAAGATGGCTTTACAGTGTGGACGTTTCAGACTACTGTATTCTTTGTCTAGTTAATAATGGTTTCTGCTGCAGTAATAGAGCATCCGTTTGCCATGTTGGAGCTGTAGTAGTAGGGCTGGGATATAGCCTATTGAATAGTCATAATTTAAAGTATTTGTGATGATTTTGTGATTTACAGTTTACATAGTATGTATATTGCTGGGATTTTAATGTTTAATTAAGTTTCTTAAAGTTTGCATCATTAGATCATTATTAGTTTTGCTTCCTCCTTATCATGCAACTCTTTTAAAAGAAGTTTTCATAGTGTTTAAACCTCAAATTATATTCGAGTCAATGAGTTTGATTAGTTTCCATGAAACGGTTTAAATTGTCAATTTTTAATTAATTGAAATTCAGCAAATTCATGGTCCAACAGTTTATTCGGAAATTTTCACAGTTTCATAAGACATTTTTAAACGTTTTAGTAAAATATGCGATTTGTTGGTAAATACAAGGGTTGGACAAAATAATGTGAACACCTGGAAAATGGGAAATATTTCTTTATTAGGGTGTT